AGAGAGAGAGAGAGGAGTAATTCAATTAAGGAACCCCGAGACTATTCCCCGCCACTTCAAAAGTCTTTAATTGTATGCTTGCCTGGTTCCTCTAGCGCTTTTAACGGCCTCTGTAGTGTTGGCTAAAGATATTCTATATCTCTTCATAACTTGGCTACAGACATTTCATAGGTGCCTTATGGTTCCTAGCCAGTCACGTCACCCTGAAACAGAGACTTGAATTATATATATCCTAGACTCTAGACCGTGTACTATCATGGTCGCCACTCTTTGCGGTATAAAAACTTTGCTGCCAAATAGTGGACAAAATAACCAGTCTCGGTATCGTTAGGAGCGTGCGGCATGTTTCCCCTCTAGCCATTCACTTTGCACCAAGTTGAGTGAAAAGTTGGGCTCCATATTGGACAGAAATTACGTCGGCACGATCTAGGCTATTATTATAACACAAGTCTGAGCTCTGACCACATTCGGTTTTTTTTTCTTTAATGTGCACTCTTCTTTGTCGTCTCTCTTCCTGGTACGAGGCTAACACTTTTTTGTGGTTATGTATAACATAACGTCGAAAGTGTCTCCTGTTTCATAAACAGCGTTTTTATATTTCAATGTAACTTGACACTATTGTGTTCCACAAACAATTTTCCGTTAATACTTGGTTAGGAGAATATTTGCTACAAATATTGGTCCTGTATAAAAACTTATTATAAGCATTTGGGCCCGTAAATGTTTCATTGTAAACGTTTAGAACTATATACATACAATTTATTGCGGATAGCATGTTGATAAACATTTACTTTTGTTTATGACGCATTGCAAATACCCAGTCACTCGAATAACTAAATATAACATAATGTAGATTTTGAAGTATGTGCAGAACTTGCTACAAACTGGGACCAGCTGCCAAATATTTTTTTCTGCACACATTCATTTGATCTACGATGTAACCTTCGGTGTTAAGTTATTTTATACAAGCTGACTTTAACACTGAGTACAGCATATTATGATTTGGGTATTGAAAATTACTTATAAATATTGCATGTAGCTTATAATGGTTTACATTGGATTTTCCACAGGATATACAATGCATGTTGGACCTTGCCCATGACGTACACAAATACTGCAAATTGGCTGCAGCGAAGGAATAAAGACAAGATACAAGGTAAGCCCATATTCTCTCCTTACGCTTTTACACCCCCCCCCCCCTTTTCTTTTCGCAGAAGTCTTTTGGGTGTAAAATGTACGGTAGCTTTATGAAATATCGTTATAAGTTTAAGCTTGCCCTCAGATCCCTTTTCTCGTGGTACACACACACACACACACACACACACACACAGACAGACACACACACACAGATACACCCAAACATGCATACACATATCATACACACCGTCGCACGCATGCAAGCGAGCACACACATTCACACATACATACATACATACATACATACATACATACATACATACATACATACATACATACATACATACATACATACATACATACATACATACATACATA